GTTGTTTCCATAGAAGATGGACATGTATGGTTGTTAACATAGACGATGGCATTGTATGGTTGTTTACATAGACGATGGCATTGTATGGTTGTTAACATAGACGATGGCATTGTATGGTTGTTTACATAGACTATGGCAATGTATGGTTGTTTCCATAGAAGATGGACATGTATGGTTGTTTACATAGACTATGGCAATGTATGGTTGTTTCCATAGAAGATGGACATGTATGGTTGTTAACATAGACGATGGCAATGTATGGTTGTTTACATAGACGATGGCAATGTATGATGTGTATATTACGGAACGATGGATTTCTTTAGGTTTAACCCATTTGTTTCGAGGGGGATGTTGCCCGACTTTCCCCCTGCGTAATAGACCAGGGCAACTGTTAAAGAGGCTTTCCTGTCAAATCGAGTGTCTTAGTCCATTTTCTGTGAATATCAAACATATTTTATTTTAGCTGCTGCTGTGGCGGAGCCATATGGTTTTCAGGGCTTCAGAACAATGCTTCAGTCTTGGAATTATCATTGAATATCATGTATTTTCTCCTTTTGTTCCGATTTGAAAATCCCTCCCCCTTCCCAATAAAATTTGAAAATCATCTGATACTTGCCTCTGGATCATTGTGCTGCATCCTTGTTATGCCTAGGATATCTATTCATGTTCCTTTTCCATTAAACACTTTTTCCTTCGTTATTGCTGTTGATGTACCTACTATGTTTGTCAGTGACACGACTACATAGCTTTACCCGAGACAGATACCACAGCTAAAGTCTAACATTACACCTACTGTGTTTAACAGTGACTACATAGCTTTACCCACAGACAGATACTACAGCTAAAGTATAACATTACATCTACTGTGTTTGTCAATGACTCGACTACATAGCTTTACCCCAGATACCACAGCTAAAGTATAACATTACATCTACTGTGTTTGTCAATGACTCGACTACATAGCCTTACCCCAGATACCACAGCTAAAGTATAACATTACATCTACTGTGTTTGTCAGTGACTCGACTACATAGCTTTACCCCATACAGATACGACATCTAAAGTCTAACATTATACCTACTGTGCTTGTCAATGACTCGACTACATAGCTTTACCCCAGACAGATACTACAGCTAAAGTATAACAGTATACCTACTGTGTGTGTCAGTAACTCGACTACATAGCATTACCCCAGACAGATACTACAGCTATAGTATACCATTATACCTACTGTGTTTGTCAGTAACTCGACTACATAGCATTACCCCAGACAGATACTACAGCTATAGTATAACATTATACCTACTGTGTTTGTCAGTAACTCGACTACATAGCATTACCCCAGACAGATACTACAGCTATAGTATACCATTATACCTACTGTGTTTGTCAGTAACTCGACTACATAGCTTTACCACAGACAGATACCACAGCTATAGTCTAACATTACATCTACTGTGTTTGTCAATGACACGACTACATAGCTTTACCCCAGACAGATACTACAGCTATAGTATAACATTATACCTATTGTGTTTGTCAGTAACTCGACTGCATAGCTTTACCACAGACAGATACCACAGCTATAGTCTAACATTACATCTACTGTGTTTGTCAATGACACGACTACATAGCTTTACCCCAGACAGATACTACAGCTATAGTATAACATTATACCTATTGTGTTTGTCAGTAACTCGACTGCATAGCTTTACCACAGACAGATACCACAGCTATAGTCTAACATTACATCTACTGTGTTTGTCAATGACACGACTACATAGCTTTACCCCAGACAGATACTACAGTGTTTGTCAGTGACTCCACTACATAGCTTTACCCCAGACAGATACTACTGTGTTTGTCAGTGACACGACTACATAGCTTTACCCGAGACAGATACCACAGCTAAAGTCTAACATTACACCTACTGTGTTTAACAGTGACTACATAGCTTTACCCACAGACAGATACTACAGGTAAAGTATAACATTACATCTACTGTGTTTGTCAGTGACTCGACTACATAGCTTTACCCCAGACAGATACGACATCTAAAGTCTAACATTATACCTACTGTGTTTGTCAATGACTCGACTACATAGCTTTACCCCAGACAGATACTACAGCTAAAGTCAAACATTATACCTACTGTGTTTGTCAGTGAATCGACTACATAGCTTTACCCCAGACAGATACGACATCTTATGTCTAACATTACATCTACTGTGTTTGTCAATGACACGACTACATAGCTTTACGCCAGACAGATACTACAGCTAAAGTCTAACATTACATCTACTGTATTTGTCAGTGACTCGACTACATAGCTTTACCCCATACAGATACGACATCTAAAGTCTAACATTACATCTGCTGTGTTTGTCAATGACTCGACTACATAGCTTTACCCCAGACAGATACCACAGCTAAAGTCTAACATTACATCTACTGTGTTTGTCAGTGACTTGACTACATAGCGTTACCCCAGACAGATACTACAGCTAAAGTCAAACATTATACCTACTGTGTTTGTCAGTGACTCGGCTACATAGCTTTACCCCAGACAGATACGACATCTAAAGTCTAACATTACATCTACTGTGTTTGTCAATGACTCGACTACATAGCTTTACCCCAGACAGATACCACAGCTAAAGTCTAACAGTATACCTACTGTGTTTGTCAGTAACTCGACTACATAGCTTTACCCCAGACATATACCACAGCTTAAGTATAACATAACACCTACTGTGTTTGTCAGTGACACGACTACATAGCTTTACCCCAGACAGATACCACAACTAAAGTATACCATTATACCTACTGTGTTTGTCAATGACTCGACTACATAGCTTTACCCCAGACAGATACTACAGCTAAAGTCTAACATCACACCTACTGTGTTTGACACGACTACATAGCATTACCCCAGACAGATACCACAGCTAAAGTATAACATTATACCTACTGGGTTTGTCAATGACACGACTACATAGCTTTACCCCAGACAGATACTACAGTGTTTGTCAGTGACTCCACTACATAACTTTACCCCAGACAGATACCACAGCTAAAGTCTAACATTACATCTACTGTGTTTGTCAGTGACTCGACTACATAGCTTTACCCCAGACAGATACTACAGTGTTTGTCAGTCACTCCACTACATAGCTTTACCCCAGACAGATACCACAGCTAAAGTCTAACATAACACCTACTGTGAATGTCTCCAAACGCTACCATAACATGTATCCGGTCTATGGTTAGTGAATGTGTTTTGATCTCATACGTTTCTTTGTCATCTACATTGTAAAATTTGTTATTGTTGTCCAGCATTTCGGTCGGTGGTGTTTCTTCGGGAACTCCAGCTTTCCTCCACCACCAAAACCTGGCACGTCCATCAATGACCATTACTGTTAATAAGACGCAAAACAAACAGACAAATGGCCAGACTAAGGTCGCGACATGCTTTTCCGTCAGACGACAATGTTTATCTCGGCGAGAATAAGACCGTGACATGATTATACGACAGACTAAAAAACATATCACGACCTTGCATAATGCCATCTACATATATCTTATATTTATGAGACATATTAAACGGTAGTATAAAAGGAATTATATTTACATGTAGGTAAGCGATGTCTATAAATGCATAATAGAACAAACTGAAAATGTTATACGGGGTAAGATGTTATTGATTTAAATGAATTTAGGATTTAAATGTCTGAGATATGGGCCTTGTCGTTCAGATCTAAATTAGCTTAACACACATCGTTAACTCAAAATGTCGAAATGACATTTCAGAAATTCCTTCAAATTGTTCAATCATCCTTTCATTAGCTATTATTAATGGATATCACTCTGTACGTGTAGTGTTTGTAATTAATTTTAGTATGTTTCAATGATTTAAGATTACTTCCATCACTGATGTTAAGCTGTGCTATCTTTAAACCACCGGCCCGGGTACAGTGTATCCGTGGGTACATTACCCAGACTGACCTATATAGTTCGTCTTACAGCAGGGCGACATATCTCTACCATTGGTGAACGTCCCAGTGGCGGTGTGTACGTCGGAGATCCGTGTTTTCATTTTTTATATTTCGAATATTTACATTGGTATACAATACATACATTACATAATGCAAACACATAGACACATGTATTTATATAGTATCATACAATATCGGTACAAATAGCCATTGAGTAGATCTATAGAAAAGGAGAGGTAGGATTGTTTAAGAACCTGCATTGCAGTCTCAATGCCAATGTTAGCTGTCAGTGTAGGCCATTTCGATACCTTACATTAAATTCAAATAAAAAAGGAGAATATATTATATGCAACAATGTGTAAGTTGCTTACGACAAATAAATCCCAAATTCAGGTTTACGTGTTTGCAAACAGGTTTTGCGAATTGGTCCATTCTCTTTGACATTAATATAATAAACTTTATTTGTTTTACAACAATTATGAAACAAGTTATTTCTAATTATATGTATCCCTCTTGTTGGCCCGGATGTTAGCGCGGGTGGTTTTAATGTAGGAGGAAACCGGAGTACTCGTAGAAAACCCACGCGGTCGGGCAGGTGACCACATGCCTTTTCACGTCCGATCGGGGTATCGAACCCACTATCCGCTGCACTTGCCCTGAAGCCACCCTGAAAATATCCCCTGGTGTATTTTGAGGGCGTTAATGGCATTTCATGTTGGAGGCACCCTGTTTTATTGTAAACATTATAACAACATCCATTTTTCTGTTTATTCTATGCCGATGATATACACTAGAAAAATATTGTATTAGAAATTAAACAGAATGAGTAGTTTAACAAGTTTTTAATTTAACGGGTTTTCTACATTTTGAATTCAGTTTTGAACTTTCTCTCAGTTCAAAATGTTATTGGTTTTAATTTATATACTCCTTCAACCAGTCTATTCAAAGGACTTTCGGTCTTCCCCATGTGTTTAACTTACGGTATTTGCTATTTTATCATTACAGTTTTTGAGCCAGTAGTGATACGGCAACAGATGGTGTTTGAAAACTTCATCATGCTGAAGGTGTTTTTGGCAGCAGTCGCCTCGGGTAAGTCTGAATACCTTAAATATTCTTTTAGGTAATTCTTTACACAATTATGAGTATATTAGATAAATCTACAAGCGGTTTATTACCCCCTCCCCTTTTTTAAAGGGTTCACAGATAATTGATTTACTTTTAAAAATCCCTGAAAACGATCTATTCGCGTAAAGTCAATTATCGACATGATATTACCGTAATTAACCGCCAATAAGTCCCTTCTCGCAAATAAGCTGTCTCTCCACTTTGGCAAGCGTCCTTGGAACAGGGTGGGTGCCTGTAATTAAGCCCCCTCCATACCTTTGTCTCTCATTTAAAACAAATGTATGTTATTTTTTTTCTCTCTGACTAGCTAACTGGTCGACAGGCGATTAATCTCACCTTAGATAAGTATTCTCGACAGGAGTTTGGGTTGCATGCGACTTACCTCCCCTTAAACAATGCTACAATGATTGTGACTATTCTCCATATGGAAACATAGAACATACTACAGTTCTATGTGTTCATTTAAAAACGACACTTATACAATCTATTGTTTATATGAACAAACATTTTGTCCACATTTTGTGTAATTTTCAGTAACTAAAATTTTCGGAAATGTTTAATTAAAAATGTTTAACCATCAATAAAAAAAAATCAAGATTAAAAATACATATTTATTATTCGTATGTGCCAATCCGAATAAATTATTTTACCATTTCGTTATGGAAAACTATAAATAGTAATAATGTTAAGTGCTTCCTGGTAGCTATGTATACAGTAAACCTGATACCTTAGTTATTAAAGAGTTCGTTTTATGAAAATAAAAGAAACAGGTAGTATACTAATATATCCTTTACAAAGAGTTACCTCCCTTTCCAGGCCAGCTCTGTTTCGTTGTGTTGGCGGCCATTCCTAAGACCAGGCCTTATTTTGACGACGCTATACACGACTTCATATCCTGCTTACGAGAAAAGGGGATCCTCACCAGTATCCTCGGCCCCATAATCCTGGGAATCGGGATGACCATGGCAGGATCGGTGAGTAATAGAATCTCAAACTCTTATAACTGGAGCGTTGGGTAACATAATCTCATACTATTTTGTCTAGAGCGATGATTATCATCAAATCATATTTAATCTTTGAAACGATGATTAATAGCAATGTATGTATCACCGAGTAACATAATATCACACTTGATTATATGTGGCATTGAGTAATAGAATCTCACACTCGTTTATCTGTAGCATTGAGTAATAGAATCTCACACTCGTTTATCTGTAGCATTGAGTAATAGAATATCACACTCGCGTATCTGTAGCATTGAGTAACAAAATATCACACTCGTTTATCTGTAGGAGTGAGTAATAAAATATCACACTCGTTTTTCAGTAGCATTGAGTAATATGATCTCACACTCGCTTATATGTAGCATTGAGTAATAAAATATCACACTCGTTTTTCAGTAGCATTGAGTAATATGATCTAACACTCGTTTACTTGTAGGAGTGAGTAATATCATCTCGCACTCACTTAGTAATAGAATCTCACATTCGTTTATCTGTAGAATTGAGTAATAGAATATCACGCTCGTTTATCTGTAGAATTGAGTAATAGAATATCACACTCGTTTATCTGTAGCGGGGAGTAATATTATCTCACTCTCTGTGTTGAGATAGTTGCAGAAAGCCACAGTGAATGTCCATAGAGTTGGGGACAATGGATAACGCTTGTCATATTCTGCTTAAAACGTTTACAAGTACCATTGTTAAACGTAATCGTTCGAGTATATAATATTTTACAATGGGAATAAATCACACTTTATAATGAGAATATGTTATGATTTATTATGTCGTTATGTTATATTACATGATTGAGTAAAAGCCATTTAATAATGTGTTTTACGTCCTCGTTGATGTTACATGTTTGTATTGAATACGTTGAATTTTATAATGAAAGATTATATTTTTTAATGTGAATACGTTATTTTTTTCTATAATAAAAGAGTATGTGCTGTAATATAAAAATGTTATATCTTACATGCGCTATGTTTCACACTGCAGTGTCCCGGTATGATACTAGCACAGATAGGTGCTTGGGTCCCTAATGCAAGTAAGTATATGTTTCATAGCTGACAACCTTGACCGCGTGATAACATCTGCATAAATCTACGAAAATGTGATTTGATAAAATTCAAAATGAAGAGGTTCTCACATGAAACAAATGTACAATTCAACATTGTGATACACTACTCTGCATATTGGAGAAGCTTACGAAAACAAGTATTCGCTGTTTCTTTTTCTTTTATCATTCCGAAGATTTGTTTTAGTATTATTTTTAAAATTAGTAATATCCAAATTCTGTGTATAGTTCTAACAATAATATAAGCACATTTGTAATTATTTCTATTGTAAATGTTACTGACGAATGTTTAAGGTCTGTTTTATTAACAAACATACAAATGCCACTAACGAACCTCTTGCATGGTCAGTTTTCAGTCTACTTGGAGTCTTCCTCGGCGCATTATCCTACGGCCTGCTTGACCCATTTCTCTCCAGACTGACCAAGCCAAAGACTGCTTACACATGGACACAGTACGTTCAGTGTGATATACAGAATCCTTTATTACATTCAGTCTGAGCTGTGTTACTTTAGAATAATCCCGTGAAATGGGCAATAAATATAATACATTGTGATAAACAATAAACCTGAAGTGCCCTGCAAAGGGAGAAAGCAGCTAGTTTTTTAGTCGTTTGTTAGATCTTATTTTTTCTATATTTACTTACTTCACATGGACATTTAATCCTTTGTTATGATACATTGTATAAATATATCGGAATTAGTTGTATAGTCTCATTAAGAATTTACATATATATCTCCCTTCAAGGATAGGTGAGGCAAAACCATAAAAATGATATATTGGCCGTGTTATTTCAGCTGCTTAATATTTTCAATCATAAGATCTGTTCTGATGGTTGATTGCAGTTTAATTTTTCTACATCTTTCATCTAGTAACGTATTTGACTTCAAGCAAAACTTGGACGAATTCTGGATACAGCGCCTTATATAAAGGCTTATTTTATGTTTTCCACAATGTATTTCAAACTATATTGATGTTGATATAGAGGCAGCAATGCCTGCGTCCACTAATATCCTATTAAATCCTATTAAATACACATGACCCGTCACGTGTTTCAGTGTGCACACATCACTAGACAAACCGTATGTTGCCCTGGCCCTCCCCATGGCTCTGCTAATGACGGTGATCGTGGTCCTGATAGAATGGTTTTGGCCGTGGAACAAGGACCTCGTTTCTATAGGGGTAAGCATGTACTACGGCACATATTTTTGAGCTTGTAGAAGTCTACTTTAACTTGACGGCAAATACATATCGCACACATCACCAGACCATCTGGTTATCCTGGTCACTGTCACCACCGGCTCATGTAACAGATTAAGTTATGACGAATGCGCGCAAATAAACCTACCGACAAAAATAATTGATCGTCAGTAACTCGATATTGTCATTGATTTTTCGCCTAACGTTTTATTATGTTATTACGGTGAGATTAAAAAGAGGGTTGATAGGTGCCTATTTATCAATTTTACAATTTTTCCGACAAAAGTGATCGGTCTGGTAGAAAAATCAGTAGATACGTAGACGACTGATTCAAATTGTTAAATACTCATTTAAAGTCAAATTACAAATATAATATAATCACGTGGTTATATAATCATTTTACGTTTCTGTTACAGAGAGAAAACCCAGCAGGTGTCAATATCGTCACTGCTGTGTCGTGGCCGCCATACGCCACAGGTAAGAAACACGCTAAAATCACAAAAGTTTAAGGAGGGATCAAAACCTAAACTAATTCTCGAAAGGTCGTCGTATGATTGTTGACGTCATACTGATTAAAAGTCATTGATTGGTGACGTCATCATAATTTAGAAAATATGCTACCAATTAAAGCAAAAATCAAATGCTAAGCTAAGTTGATTTCTATGATATTTAAAATCAATGAGCAGTACGTTTGTTAACATAGTTATCTTCAGCTTACATACGCTGCAGTAACTGGACAGCAACATAATCAAATTTCACATGAAATGCTCTTCATGAAACTGTTTCTATGACCGTTTTCAAAATGCATTATAATTGTATTTGTAACTCTAAGGTCAATCCCAGTTCACACATGAACAATAAATATAGAGTGAAAAAGACTTGAGCCGTTTTGTTTATCGCCGTCCAAACGGTTAAACCAGATTTGATCGTTTATGAAATAAGGTCGGACCCAATAATCTGATGTTGCTTTCAGGCAAGCATTGGCAAAGCATTGCAAGGCCTGCATAAACTTTTGCAGGTCCACCAGTATTTATACCCGAAAATGTTACATTTCAAAACGGTTGTTCCGGATAAACGAACAGGCTCTAGCTGTACATGTGTACATTTGTATATGGCCAAGGGGAAGTAACTACACTTTAATCAACCAACACGTATAGTATAATCATGGCTAGACACTGGTTTTAGATCAAGGTGGTATAAACTGTTTATCCTAGATTTTGGATGACTTTTGTTACAATTATTACATAATCGACATTCAAATCAATATTGTTTTGTTTTATTTTTTCAATTGACAGAACTTATTATAGTTAAGGGAAGGACCTGCTGACACTAAAAACGATAAATATTGTGTGGACTTTACAACAATTATGAAACAAGATAAAAAGGCCATATCAATCCGTCTTGTTGACCCTGATGGTACATGTACGTAGCAGTGGGTTTTGATATGGAGGAAACCAAAGTTTACACTGAAAGGCGAGTGCATTATACACCGCGCCAGCCAATTATCATCTTCGTCACATTAACCCTATTGGGCCTCATTCACAGACTGTCATTAGTTAAGAAAATGTTAATAACATTTTAATGAAGATTAATGACGTTACCTATAGTGGAGTAAAGTACACTTAATTTAATGTATTTGTATTCAATATCTTCTACAGGTATCATAGTTGGCCTACTACAGCTCCCCCTGGTGTTAGTGGTCAAGGACACGATAGGTGGCAGCAGCAGTTACGTCACCATAGTTTCCCAATGGGTCATAACGGACAAGCTGTCCCGGACATTTCCATATTTGGCGAATAAAAGATCAGGTGTTGGCAACTGGTGGCAGGTGAGTGTTGTAAATGGCGTGTGTTGTTAAATGGAAACAAAAATAGTCTCGATGAGCTTTTGATATGTTAACATGTATAGAATAACAAAAAAAATAAAGTTGTGACTATCTCCCATTTGCAGGTGTTTTTCGTGTCGTTTGTGGTGTTGGGCGCCTGCCTGTCCGGCGTGGCCTCGGACACTCTGACGACAAGTAAAGGGCCACAACTCCCGGTGGCGTTCTTTGGAGGCTTCTTGCTCCTGTTTGGGGCTCGCCTTGGCGCAGGATGTACAAGGTAAATTTCGGCCTCTCTCCCATTTAGTCATGCGCGTTTTCCGTACCCATGCACTTTTCTTGACTCTAGGGAGGAAGTACATAAAGAAGCATTTATGTGGTTATCTATAATATAAGTCTCAGTACCTTAATGTCAAACTTGTTTGCTTGTTTTTATATATGTTTACATGTATATTTGTAAATCTAATTAATTCGTTGCCTTGGTTACAGTGGTCACGGGTTGTCAGGGATGGGTCTGCTGGCGTGGTTATCATTCATTGCTGTCCCGGCCATGTTTGCTGGTGGTATATCTACAGCATTCGCCATGCAGGCTACTGGCGCTCTGGACCAGTATGTCCAACACACGGGAGCAGTGTGATATCTACACACATCCGGCACCTGCAAAAGTATGTTACTGCCACATCCGGGGATCTGGAGCAGTACGTGTCGTATAACTTCCGGGCATAGCGTTATATAACCGTACTGCTACATCCGGGACCTGCATCAATAATTGGTGTTCATAGAATCCGCGTAACTGCCTGTCTGAATTGTAAATCCGGGACCTTTGAAATAATCCAGATATTATATCTTGGAGCAGTGAACAACAATCTGATTGGTTGATTGGTTGATTGACTGGTTTATCGTCTTCCATCAGTGACGAAGTCTGTGTTCGGCCGAGTAAACATAATATCTGGAAACCTCTATAGTTTATATAATTGACGTACCACGTGATTTGTGATAACCAATCAAATCCACTGATTGATACTTTGTTGATTTCCGGGTGATTTGTGTGAGTGTGGCTGCGTTACCATAGTTACAGACATGTATTGGGCAGGAAAGACAAATCTATCGATTTCAGATGTAATTTCTGATCATTGTGCCAATTTGTTGATGTATTTATATGTTATATTTTTACAGATTATATCTAACCTTAAAGTTTTTTTATACGTTACAAGATCACTGCTCAATGTCCACATATTTCCAATTTCTCCATTGTTAACAACAACACTTTATAAATGTTTAAATTTTATATATTTTATTTGGAGGATATCAAGATGTGTTTATTCAGTTAATGAGTTAAATTAGATAACAAGTTAAATAAGGCAATACTTTAGATTTAAAAAGATACTTATTATATTATGATATTTTGTTTAATGAATGCTATCCACCATTTGTGCATATCTTTATGATTTATGTAAGTAATTGGAAAAAGTTTTAAAATAGGAAAAACGATAGAGGAACAATTAAGATAAATTAATTATTTTAATAACATATAGAGACAATGTTTATTTCTCATCGTTCATTCTTAACGAAAATAATTAATTGGGTTTAATTAATCTTAATTTATCGAAGGTATTGTTAAACAATGTCATGTATGTCATATATATTCAAGGCGTTTAAGTGACAAACTGAAGTCTAACAAGATCAGCTTGTGAGACAAACTGAATTTGTTGAAGAACGAGTCTATCACACCTGTTTAGGAACTATGTGAAAACACAATATACACACCAATATCAACAAAGAAGGACAAAACTACTAAACAGCTTCTACTAAAAAACACAACATACAAAAAAAAAATCAATAAACACGAACACATTCATCAAAGCGTAAACAAAGGAAGAACAAAAAAAGCCTCAGCGTCAACAAACAAGGCCAAATTACTGTAAAAAAAATGTTCGCGTTGTGAAACTTTTAACTGATGGGGTTATGGAAATGTTCCCGCTGACAAATAGTTATACAATCTACATATTAGATTTATCTATGATCTATAATCAACTTGCAAATTTGCTCAACGGGAAAAAACGCTTACATTTTTACACCGCGAAAGTTTGTACGTTAACAATATACAAGTGTCAACACGTGCAATGAATTAAACAGCGTCAACAATCAAGTTGTACTACAATATAGCGGCAATACACAATGTCAACAATCAAGTTATACCACAATATAGCAGCAATACACAATGTCAACAATCAAGTCATACCACAATATAGCAGCAATACACAATGACAATAAATACAAAGTTATACCACAATATAGCAGCAATACACAATGTCAACAATCAAGTCATACCACAATATAGCAGCAATAAACAATGTCATCAATCAAGTTATACCACAATATAGCAGCAATACACAATGTCAACAATCAAGTTATACCACAATATAGCAGCAATACACAATGTCAAAAATCAAGTTATACCACAATATAGCAGCAATACACATTGTCAACAATCAAGTCATACCACAATATAGCAGCAATACACAATGTCGACAATCAAGTTATACCACAATATAGCAGCATTACACAATGGCAACAATCAAGTTATACCACAATATAGCAGCATTACACAATGTCAACAATCAAGTTATACCACAATATAGCAGCAATAAACAATGACAATAAATACAAAGTTGTATGCAGCATTATCGTATAACAACAAAATATACAACGTCAACACACAAGGAAAACATCATATGAAATCGTTCATGCAGAGACAAAATACACAAAAGCGTCAATCATTAAAGGACAAATTGACCACAGCATGGATAAACAAGGACAAACAGCGTCATCACACAATGTCAAAATAAACCACATCATCAACACACATGAAAAGATACGACATAGCATTATTACAAAGACAAAATACACCACAGCGTCAACATTCCAGGACAATTTCACTTCTGTGTGGACAGATAAGTACGAAATATACCTCAACTTTGACAAACAACGACAAAATCTACCACAGCGTCAACACACAATGTAGAATAAACCACAGTATCAATTCACAGGGATAAATATATAGCAATATCAACATTAAAAATATCGTTATTCCACGTTATCAATTCCTAAGGATAAAATACACCGAAAGTCAACACAACAAGATAAAATACAAACTATGAACAATTCAAATCAGTAAAAAAGACAACATCATTACACAAAGGAGACACTTTGAACAAACATAAAACGAAACTAGGTACTAGCTGACCATTTAATGAACCACTTGTGGTAGTCCTTCATCATGTTTCTTGTCATGTTCTGGAATGAATGTGTTTAATTTTATATTTTGAAATGTTGTCCTGACGTTAACCGTAACTGCAGTGTAGTTTAAAGCTGACCTTGTAGAACACCCGGGAAACTGTGCAACATTGTTGCTGGATATATGGATGCAAAATGAATATATGCCAATCTGTACAAATGCTATTGCCAAATCTTGTCTGTTTTGTATTCTAACGATGATATATTTAATTAGTTTGAGTCGGTAGGACTCTTGACCTTTAACCAAGTTTACACTGGTGTGGCAGACACGCCGTTAAGTACAAAGTTGAATAGTGAGGATAGAAATCCATTTATGCAGAATGTCATTGATACCGGGAAATTGCACTGTGAAGCCCCATGAAGTCACGAATATTGTTATGGGAAAGGGGATAACGACTGGTCCCCAGGTTGTTTACTAATACTGACTGGTCCCCGAGGCCTAGTTAACTTAACGACCTCTTAATAAAAATTGTTTTTATATGTTTATATCGAAATACATTGAAATAAAACTAAAACTCTGTCTATGGATATTCAAAATGATCACCTACAGACAGGTTCAAGAAAAATGCAAAATGTTTCTAAGGATCCCGTAACACGGAAAAATGTATTTAATATTAGAAACATTTTGTCCGGCATGACTTAAAAGAATACCATTCATTGCGGATTTTTATGAGAAATGACGTTAAACCCTTTACACCCAACCCTGGACTTCAGAATGTTATAGGATCGCTGTAACCGATTGAGCTACCAGGTCAACGGAATTGGCCCAACTGTGATATTATTATACCCAGACAGTAGTTAAGGGAAGGTTATAGTATATAGGGGAAAACACAGTGCACTGCGATAGGCATCCTTAAAACATTTATGTTGAAAATTTTGTAATCGAATCGTTGAGCTGATAACTCTGAGTAAATCAAATCCAGGTGTGAGTAAAACTGGCGATGACGCAGTATCTAATTACGGTGTTAACATGTACGTTATCTACCTTAATTTACACATCAGCATATTTTTTAATTAGTACAATAAATGCCCCTTGTTCACAGTGATTACAATCATTGATGTGAGAATTGAGGGGTGCAGTGCCTTGCGCGTATTGACATACTTTGTAAATAAGATCATATATTTTGTTTATGTGCTACACTTTATAGAACACACGTACCTCAACTAAAATGATCATATATATACACCTTCTGCCTCTGGCTTCCTTGTCGTATAATCAATTCCTTGTACGATCTCTGTCAACAAAATACAAATCCTTTTAAACATCACTATTTTGAAATTCCCACTTAACCACTTACCACTAATGATGTTCTCGCCAAACCCTAGCTTGGTAATGTATCCCTTCCTTCCTTCCTCCCACCGACAGCATATCTCCCTTTTCATCGATTTCTACATTATGTAATGCAACTTTAATATCTAATATTTCATAACCATATAAACTACAAAATCATATTGTTGACAAATCATGATTGAAGATTTCTATGCACATGCATTCTTAATGTTAATTCAATCATTTCCTACTTGATCACGTGACGTCTCAATTAAGTCCGCTGACGGACGAACAAGATCGAGATTTTGCCATGGCCACCGCGCCTCAAATCTCCGCCGAGGGTTGTCTTTCTTTAAACTTGCAAGGAACGACAACTCTTGGTAGAGATTGGTGAAAGTTTACTACCGAGTAGTAATTGTGATTTCAATAACAATGATAGTTGAAGCCTTTGTTGATTTGATTGATGAAATCTTTGTTAATGTAGAGTAAGCGTATTTTTATACTTTTTCCTGACCCTGTTAGTGCTGACCTGTGACCCTCGACCCTGTGCCATGATACCTCTGTCAATAGATCACGTGGTGTTCTGTGTTATGAATTATGATTGTTTTGATTCGTTATTTATTTATCATGATTATTAAAGCGATGAAATCAAATCACGTTTTCATTTATCATTGAGTACCCGGATGTGTCAGTTGTTAAAAAAAAACCAATGAATACAAAGAACATTCAATTTAGAATGAGGGTTGAAGATATGAAAATGGAAATGCATATATCTTATAGGGTTGTTTATTTCACCCCCACAAACGCCACAGGAAACACCGGGACTACAAGGACAGATCATTGTCAGGAAACACCGGGACTTCAAGGACAGATCATTGTCAGGAAACACCGGGACTTCAAGGACATATCATTGACAGGAAACACCGGGACTTCAAGGACAGATCATTGACAGAAAACCCCGGGACTACATGGACAGATCATTGACAGGAAACATCCGGACTTCAAGGACAGATCATTGACAGGGAACACCGGGACTTCAAGGACAGATCATTGACAGTAAACACCGGGACTACAAGGACAGATCATTGACAGAAAACACCGGGACTACATGGACAGATCATTGACAGGAAACATCCGGACTTCAAGGACAGATCATTGACAGGGAACACCGGGACTTCAAGGACAGATCATTGACAGAAAACACCGGGACTACAAGGACAGATCATTGACAAGAAACACCGGGACTACAAGGACAGATCATTGTCAGGAAACACCGGGACTTCAAGGACATATCATTGACAGGAAACACCGGGACTTCAAGGACTGATCATTGACAGGAAACACCGGGACTTCAAGGACTGATCATTGACAGGAAACACCGGGACTTCAAGGACAGATCATTGACAGAAAACACCGGGACTACATGGACAGATCATTGACAGGAAACATCGGGACTTCAAGGACAGATCATTGACAGGAAACACCGGGACTTCAAGGACAGATCATTGTCAGGAAACACCGGGACTACGAGGAATGATCATTGCCAAAAAATTCAAATAATTTCAAACATTCATCGCGGTCAGGGACAATTTTCACAAAACTTTTCTCATGGATCTTTTTCATGGATTCCATGCTCAAGCAAACTTTCTTGTAAATCGAGACTAACACATGGTCACGTGTAAATACCGTATTTGGTTTTAAATCTTTCCGAATTTCTTCCAAATCATCGACAAAGGGTCTATTCTTTTTAAAGTTATCACTAGAAAAAAAGGAATTGGGCCTGAGCACCTAATCTGAATTCAGCATGAAAACAGTTTCAGGAATACGGGCTGAGTAATAAGTATGACACATAGTGTTTTTTATTATCTTGAGAACCATCAACAACGCTGTCTGTTGGGATTTGCGAATTCCGGATACTTTAATCTTGTTCCGCATGTTACCTGTTTATGCGTTGGAATTGACAATGCCTAAAATACAAAACAGATATCCCACTCTTGGTAAGTTTGATGATGAGTAACAGCAAAAATTATATGTCAAGTCTGTGATCCCACAAAAATTGTTGTCAAAACAATGGTCACAAAATAATGGTCACAAAACAATGGTCACATAACAATGATCACATAACAACGGTCACATAACAATGGTCACAACACAATGGTCACATAACAATGGTCACAAAACAATGGTCACAAAACAATGGTCACAAAACAATGATCACATAACAATGGTCACATAACAATGGTCACAAAACAATGTCACATAACAATGGTCACATAATAGCAATGGTCACAGAATAACAATGGTCACAAAACAATGGTCACATAACAATGGTCACAAAACAATGTCACATAATAATGGTCACAAAACAATGGTCACATAACAATTGTCACATAACAATGGTCACAAAAAAATGGTCACATAACAATGGTCACAACAATGGTCACATAACAATGGTCACAAAACAATGATCACATAACAATGGTCACAAAACAATGGTCACATAACAATTGTCACATAACAATGGTCACAAAACAATGGTCACAAAACAATGGTCACAAAACAATGATCACCTAACAATGGTCACATAACAATGGTCACAACAATGGTCACATAACAATGGTCACATAGCAATGGTCACATAACAATGGTCACAAAACAATGGTCACATATCAATGGTCACAAAACAATGGTCACAAAACAATGGTCACATAATGATGGTCACATAACAAAAACTTAACGTCGTGTCAGTGGTTCCACAACAAAAATTCGAATTACAAGATACAAGATACGAGATACAAGAAACTTTATTTAACGTCGCATACAGGTAAACAAGGAACATTAGCTCTTGAGATCTATTATTGCGACAAACATATGTAAAAATAACAATAACATGTTATATTACAAGTAAAGGGAGATAATCACATATATTAATAATAAAACAGTAATAATCATCACAGAAAAAAAGAAAGTATACGTATCCCAGGTTTCTAAGTGATTGGGAATTACAACTGTGATAAAAACAATCACTAAGGGGTAACTAAGAACTGGGGGGACCACAAAACCAACACTAAGGGATAACTAAGAACCGAGGGGACAACAAAACCAACACTAAGAGGTAACTAAGAACCGAGGGGACAACAAATCCAACACTATTGGGTAACTAAGAACCGAGGGGACAACAAAACCAACACTAAGGGGTAACTAAGAACTGAGGGGACCACAAAACCAACACTAAGGGGTAACTAAGAACTGAGGGGACCACAAAACAATCACTAAGGGGTAACTAAGAACTGAGGGGACCACAAAACCAACAATAAGGGGTAACTAAGAACTGAGGGGACCACAAAACAATCACTAAGGGGTAACTAAGAACTGAGGGGACCACAAAACCAACATTAAGGGGTAACTTAGAACTGAGGGGACCACAAAACAATCACTAAGGGGTAACTGAGAACTGAGGGGACCACAAAACAATCACTAAGGGGTAACTAAGAACTGAGGGGACCACAAAACCAACATTAATGTGTAACTAAGAACTGAGGGGACCACAAAACCAACACTAAGGGGTAACTAAGAACTGAGGGGACCACAAACTTACACTAAGGGATAACTAAGAACTGAAGGGACCACAAAACCAACATTAAGGGGTAACTAAGAACTCAAGGACCACAAAACTTACACTAAGGGATAACTAAGAACTCAAGGACCACAAAACAAACACTAAGGGGTAACTAAGAACTCAAGGACCACAAAACAAACACTAAGGGGTAACTAAGAACTCAGGGACCACAACACGAACACTGTGGGGTAACTAAGAACTGAGGGACCACCAAACGATAAGGAAGATACCATCCATAGAAACATCAAAAACAAAAGGGGTAGGCAAACTCAGTTATGAAAAACGACACCTAATGAAAAAGATAATACCAGGAACTAACCAGAAAGCACAGCAAAAAGGCGGACAACATCAGGAACTGAAGAGAAATCAAATGGGAAACTAAGTTAAGGGCACCAAATCAAAACGGAAGATAACGACAGGAATTGAGATGTAAAACCAAATCGAAACGGAAAACGCCATAAGAATATGTGAGGGACTACAAATCAAAACGGAAAAGACTATCAGTATATGAGAAAAGTCACAAAATCGATATGGAAAACTACAACGGGAACTGAGAGGGGACACCAAATAAAAACGGAAAACACCATAACTAAAGAGTCATTACACCATTATAAAATAAAAAGGTGTTTTTTTCAATTTAAGATAAAGAATGTGCCGATTGTACTATAGCAATAAAACGAAATAACATGTAAATGAAGACGTTTGTTTCACGTTCATAAAGTTGCAAAATATTCATGAAAAAACAACAGTAATTAATACACTATAATACAACACAAACAGGGCTGATATATTTTACAATGCCTTAACTGTATAGGCGCTAGTGATCCTTCGCAAAGAACACAACAGGTGGAAGTCAGTTGAAAATTATTAATAGGGAGATATGCATTTTTTTCAAATAAGGCAATATAATCGAAAATCAAGGTTAACATTGAATGACCTGCACATTAGTCTTAGTTCTCGATTCCTGCCATCAATTGATCGAGTGTGAACTGTCGAGTGATAAGGACCTCTGACCAATATTAAAATACCTCGGTCTTATAGCTATCTATCGAGATTCAGGGACGATGGTATGTATAGAAATTATTAATAACATGTATTATTAGGTGCAGCAGGTGCTTTTAATAAAAAAAAATGTTCGTAACTAGTTTGTTTTTGCAACGAAATAGTTTATTATAAGATTGTATTGATACTTTTACTGAATATAGCAGCAAGCTACACTCAGTAGTAACTGCCTTGTTATATTAAAACTAGCATATAGCTTTAGCTGCTACAGTATATATAGAATAGAATAAAATTGAATAACATTTTGTCTGATGTAAAAATAAATTGGGATTGAAGGCTGTGCGTGTCAAAGTACAATGTTTTTTTTATCATAACCATTACATCTTATGTGTGCACACTTGGCGTAAGTATCCAGTGTACCAGACAAATCGTTATTCTTTTCTACAGATACTGTTTAGCAGTGTTGTTTCAGCTAAAGCTATATATTAATTTTAATATAACAAGGCAGTTAATACCGAGTGTAGCTTGCTGCTATATTCAGTAAAAGTATCAATACAATCTTATAATAAACTATCTCGTGGCAAAACCAAACTAGTTGCGAACATTAAAAACAATATTAAAAGCACCAGCTGCACCCATGCATGGATGTTATTACGAATTTCGATACAAACCATTGATATTCCATATCGTCAATCGAATCAATTTCAGTTCGATATATTTTACGATAATGGTTATGGAATTTTTAATTAACTGCCATCATGGCATAAAAGAAATTATAATAGAAAGTCATTTATAAATAATTTCACAGCTTGAATTATTGAAATACTACATTATATTTGTACTGAATTCGACCGGAAAATGAAAAGCTTTTGATAAACGGTTTGAAAGATTTATGCATTTTTCACTGAGGGTGAGTTAGGAAATGCACCGTGCCGGCCTGTACTGGCGAGGGACAGTGGGTTTTGAATTTCGCTGCTCTTGCAAGGACAGTCAGTGGTATTGAATGCATTGGAACACATATTT